ATTCGTAGTGATTTCCCCTTTCATTCTTTTTTAAAATATGTTTTTATTGATTTTATTTTTATGTTGTTTTAAATATGTGTTATTGCCCTGGCTGGTTTGGCTCAGCGGTTGGAGTGTCCACCTGTGGACCAGAGAGTCCCGGGTTCGGTTCCTGCTAAGGGCACATACCAAAAAAAAAAAAAAAAGAAACTTAAATATGTGTTATTGCCATGGCTGGTTTGACTCAGTGGTTAGAGCATCGGCCCACAGATCAAAGAGTTATGGGTTTGATTCCGGTCATGGGCACATACCACAGTGGCAGTTTGGCACCTGGCCCTGGTTGAGGTCATGTGGGTACCAGCCAGTTGATGTGTCTCTCTCACTTTGATGTTTCTCTCTCTCTTTCCCCCTCTCTCCCTCCGATTTATCTGAAGATAAATGCAAAAAAATGTCCTTGGGTCAAGCTGGTGTGGCTAGTGGTTGAGTGTCGACCCATGTACCAAGAGGTCACTGGTTCGATTCCCAGTCAGGACACATACCTAGGTTGTGAGCCCGATCCCCAGTGGGGGGCATGAAGGAGGCAGCCAGTCGATGTTCTCTCTCATCGATGTTTCTATCTCTCTCTCCCTCTCCCTTCCTCTCTCTCTAAAATCAATAAAGGAAAAAAAAAGTTAAAAAAAGTGTCCTCAGGTGAAGATAACAAAAATTATTTTAAAATTTTTTTTTCTTTGTTGATTTTAGAGAGAGAGAAAGGTAGAGGGAGAGAGAGATAGAAACAGCGATGAGAGAGAACATTGATTAGTTGCCTCCTGCATGACCCCCACTGGGGATTTGGCCCACAACCTGGGCATTTGCCTTGACCGGAATCGAACTAGCAACCTCTTGGTGCATGGTTCGACACTCAACCACTAAGCCACACCAGCCAGACTGATTTGCTTTTCTTTTTCCAGTTTTTTAAAATTGTATTTTGTTTTTATTTTTTCATATTTTTATCCTCACCCGAGGACATTTTTTGTATTTATCTTGAGGGAGGGGGGCGGAGGAGAGAGAGAGAGAGAGGAGAGAGATATCAAATGGTTGCCACCCACACGACCCCAACCAGGGCCGGGGACAAACTGCAACCCAGGTATGTGCCCTTATCGGGAACCGAACCCAGGCCTCTCTGGTCTGCCGGCCAATGCTCTAACCGCTGAGCCAAACCAGCCAGGGCTTTCCAGTTCTTTTTTAAAATATGCTTTTATTGATTCTTTCTTTCTTTCTTTCTTTCTTTCTTTCTTTCTTTCTTTCTTTCTTTCTTTCTTTCTTTCTTTTTTAGAGAGAGATAGGAGGGGAGAGAGAGACATATCAATGTGAGAAACATCGATTGGCTGTCTCCCACATGCCTGCTACTGGGGATCAAGCCCAAAACCCAGGCATGTGCCCTAACAGGGAATTGAACTAGGACATCTCAGTCCATGGGAGGACACTCAGTCCACTGAGCCACACTGACTGGCCAGGTTCTTTTTCTAGTTTCTTGAGGTGGAAGGTTAACATGAAATTGTTTATTTATATATTAATTTTATCCTCACCCAAGGACATTTTTGCATTTATCTTCAGATAGAGCAGGAGGGGGGGGGAGAGAGGGAGAGAAACATCAATGTGAGAGAGACACATCGAGTGATTGCCACCCACACAACCCCAACCAGGGCTGGGGACAAAATGCCCTCAGTGGGAACCGAACACGGGTGGATGCTCTAACCACTTAGCAAACTGGCCAGAGCTGTTTATTTATTTTTAATATAAACATTTACCGCTAAAAATTTCCCTCTAAACCCTGCCTTTACTGCATCCCTAAGTTTTGGTGTATGTTGTTTTCACTTTCACTAATCTCAAAATATTTTCCCTGTGAATTTTTCTTTGATACTTTGTTGAGGGTTATTTTTTGTTGTTGTTAATTCTTGCCTTAGGATATTTTTCCCATTGGTGTTTAGAGAGAGTGAAAGGGGGGGTAGAGAGAGAAAGAGAAACATTAATGTGAGAGAGACACATCAATTGGTTGCCTCCCGCATTTACCCCGATTAGAGCCGGGCATTGAACCTGCAATCCAGGTATGTGCCCTTGACTGGCAATCAAACCCATGATTCTTCCATGTGTGGGCTGACGCTCTAACCACTGAACACACCAGCCAGGGCAGGAGTGTGTTATTTAATATTTACATATTTGTAGCTTTCCCAAATTCCCTTATATTATTGATCTCTAATTTCATTTCATTTTAGTTGGAGAATATTTTGTGACTTTGGTCTTTTTAAAGTTATTGAAACTTCTTTTGTGGCCTGGCATATGGTTTATCTTGGAGAATGTCACATGTGCAGTTGAGAAGAATGTGCATTTTGCTGTTATTGTGTGGAGTGGTCCTCCTATGAATCTGCCATACTCTTCCTCCATACTCCATCCAGCTGGAGCTGATTTTTTAAATTGAAACTATGATCTAGACAATCCCTTGCTTAAAATTAATGCTTGAGGCCAAGTCCCATCTCTGTAACATGGTTCATAAGGCACTTCATAAACTCGCTCCTGTTCACTTGTCCAGAATCACACCTCTTCTTTATTATTTCATTTTTTAATGTAGTAAAATATAAATAACATAAAATTTAGCATTTTTACCATCTTTGGTGTACAATCTAGTAACATCAGGTACATTTCCATTGCTGTGCAATCCCCTTCCTTTCTATTTGATTCTCTTGGATCCAGCAATCTGAACTAGTTTTAGTGTTCATACATTCATTCAACAAGAAACTATTAAATGTCTAGTAGGTACCAGGCACTGTTTGAGGCACCAATGGTACATCAGATAACAAAATAGAGAGTAATTTCAAGCCCCATGGAGCTTACATATATCGGGGGAGACAATAAAATAAAACAAATAATTACAATATATAGTATGTTAGAGCATCATCTGTATAAGAAGAAAAATAAAGTAGGGAAGGGAGATAGTGTGAGTGCGTTGACATTTTAAAAAGAATAATCAGGAGCCCTGGTCGGTTTGGCTCAGCGGTTAGAGCATCAACCTGCGGTCCTGAGAGACCTGGGTTCGGTTCCCGCTAAGGGCACGTACCTCGGTTGTAGTTTGTCCCCGGCCCTGGTTGGTCGTGTGGGTGGCAGCCACTCGATGTGTCCCTTTCACGTCGATGTTTCTCTCCCTCTCTCGGTTCCTCTCTCTCCCTCCCACTCTACCTGAACAAAAAAATGGGAAAATGTCCTCGGGTGAGGATAAAAAAAAAAAAAAAAGAATAATCAGGAAAGGTCTTACTGAGAAGATATTTGAATAAAGACCAGACGGAAGTAAGGAAGGAAATCATTTATCTGTTTGGGGAAAAAGCATTATGGACAGAGGGGAGAGCAAGTGCAAAGGTTCTGAGGCAGGATAAAATCTGATGCATTCAATGAATATTGAGGACATTAATTTAGCTAGTGCAAAGTCAGAGCAGGTAAGACCTTTTGAAGCTTTTCATCATTCTCAACTGAAAACATGATCCAGAAAATTTCCTGCTTAAATAAAATAATTTTTTTTTCATCTGAGTGCAATAGGAAACCATCGGAAGGTTTTGAGCAGGGAAGTGACATGCTATGAACTACATTTTAAAGAATAATTTTGGCTGCTCTATTGAACATACACTACAGGGAGGTGAAGTATGAGACAGAAAGACAATTAGAAAGCTATTGCAATAATATAAGTGATAAAGTTGGCTTCAGAAGTGTGGAAGCAGTGGAGATAGTGGGAAATGGTCAGATTCTGGCAGATTGGATGTGGGTACAATGAAAGAGAAGCAGAAGAGTCAGGATGACTATAAGGTTTTTGGCTTAAGGACCTGGAGGAATGGAATTGTCATTTATTGAGATAGCAAAGACTGTAAAGGGAGTATTTTGGGAAGAGAGGGTATTAGAAGCTTAGTTTGGGGCATGTTAAGTTTGCTATATCTTAGTTGAAATCCAAGTGGAGATATCGAATAAGGAGGTATATAGATAAGATTCTGGAGTCTAGGGCAAAGTGGGTTGAAGTTATAATTTGGGAGTTATCAGTGTATGAAATGACTAAGCTCTTTCATGTTAACTCTCATTGTGGGAGTGGCCAAAAAGTCATTTAATAAAGATAAATTATTGAGCTGAGATTCTGCTTGGCTTGGGTGGGTGACAGAAGAGGGTGCCATTTATTCTTAAAGACAAGGAACACAAGGGTGTAATTTTGGGAGGAGGCGATTGGATCCCAGTTGGACGTGTTGCATTTGCGACATCTATGGTGTTCAGCAAATATTTGGCTTTATGGGGGCTGGAGCTCAGGGGACAGATCTGGGCTGGAGACTTGGCATATAGTCGACAAGAGTAGCCATAGAAGTGGTTGAGATAGCCAAGGGGAACGTGAGTCTCTGGGCTGCTGGGAACAGGGATGACACATCTTCCCACATCCATTTCATTCTATTTCTTTCTTTTTTTTTTTTTATCCTCACCCAAGGACATTTTTCCATTTTTTGTACAGATAGAGTGGGAAGGAGAGAGAGGAAGGGAGAGAGAGAAACATCGACGTGAAGGGACACATCGAGTGGCTGCCACCCGCACGACCAACCAGGGCCGGGGACAAACTGCAACCAAAGCACGTGCCCTTAGCGGGAACCGAACCCGGGTCTCTCCGGACCGCAGGCCGACGCTCTAACCGCTGAGCCAAACTGGCCAGGGCTCATTCTATTTCTTTAAGTGCCTGCTGGCATTACAAACACACCCTAAATCGACGGCTACCAAAGAATACTTTTTATTTCTCTGCATCTACAGCTTTTGTCTTCTTCCGGGGACTTTGGATATTGGGAGGACCTAAAACCTCACCCCGACCGGGGGCGTGCCTACAAGGTAGTGACGCCAAAGAGGCGGGATATCAGGTGACCCGCACCCTGGCGCTGGAAGCGAGCGCCCCGGCTGGACCCTGATCTTTGTACTTCGCCGACCCCGCCGCAGGGCGCTCTCTTCCTAGTGGGTCCCGGCCGCTGCTGGCCTTAGGCCAGCTGGAGCAGGCCACGCTCGGCCAGCAAGCCCTGGGTCCGGTTGTAGACATCCTCCAGGGTGCCCGCGGCGTGGGCCAGGACGGCCCGCGCCTCCGACTCTGTGGTTCCGGGACACGCCAGCTCCAGCAAGCGGCCGCGACCCGGGAACGAAAGGAATGCGAGGCGGGCGGCCTGACGGATCAGCCACGGGTGGTGCGGGCCCAGGACTGTGCCGTAAGCGTCACTGCACTGCTCGCCGGGCTCTGGGCCTCCGACCGTCCCGGTCGCCACCCGGTGGAGGCAGAGCTGGGACCAGCGTAGCGCACGGTGCAGCAGGAGCGCTGTTTTTGAGCCGGAGGACCTGGCCGGGTTTCGAGGGGCGACCCCAGGCAGCTCCAGCAGCCCCTTCCGCCGCTCCCACGCCACCATGGCTGCCAGCGACTTGTAGTGCGCCGCATCTGGGCCGTGCACCCGAGCCTCGAGGGCTGTCACTTTGTCGAAGGCCTCGCTTGTGGCGAAGGTGAAAATGGAACCGAAGGGAGTTAAGAACCTGCGTGTTTGGTGGTGGGAAGAGTGGGAGGGTAAAGAGAGGGCGATGGAACCACTGGAGGCGGGGGCTGGATTAGGGGAGGGAGACCACTTACTTGATTAGCTCCCTCCATCCTGCCAAGTACGGCGACAACTCCACATCCCCCTCCAGGTTCAGACTGGCGCGGAACGGCCTCACCATGCGGCCCAGCATCCCATGGGGGCCCAGACACTGAGGCTCTTCCCAGTCCGGGGCCTCCAGGGATTGCGACTGTTGCTGGGCCTAGGGAAGTAGATATGAGCGGGGGTGGGGAGCGGGGTGGGAGCAGAACCCCAGGCCTCTTGGGCCTCCTTCTCCAAGCAGCCCAGTCGGGCTCTGAAAAAATTATTCCTAAGGTCTAGCTGGTGTCCCTCCTGCTGTACTCGCAGCTTCTTTCAGGAGAGGAGACACAGGAAGGAAGAACCGCTCTTCACCAGAGGGTCAGCCTTGCTCCTCTTCCCCCTGTTCAGGGTCCCACCCGGAGCTCCCCGCCCAGCCCTGCCCCGAGCTTACCTGAAAAGGCGGCGGTCCCTCAGTAATGCAGGACTGTGCTCCGGGTCGGCAGCCTGAGAGGGCGCCTGGGGAGAGGCAAGGCGAAGCGGTCAGAGCTCAAAGAGGGAGCTTAGATCCCAAGGAACTGGATTCCTGGGTTCCTCCCAGAGGAGGTGAGGGAAGAGGCCACTCACGTAGGCTCCGAGTACAAAGATAAAAAAGTAGCAGCGCGAAGATGACGAGAGAAGTAGTATGACGGAACCAGCGCCGGGAGACTTGTAGAGGCAGCGCGACCCCCATGGCTGCTGTTGGGACCACACCCCCTCACCAGCTCCTACCCTGTCCTTGTCCCTGCACCACCCCTCCGCCTCCGAAAGGAAGAGAAGCCCGCGGTGCAGTGAGGTGCAAGGGTTAATAGTTAATCTGAGGCCCCTTACCCTGAGCTCTTTGCCCCAGAGGGCAGCATCCCACAGGTGAGAAATCAGATTAAGAGCATCTGGGAAGTTCGGTGGCAATGACACCTCTCTATGTCCCTAATCCTGTAGGGTCAGGCTGTAGGAAGAGGCAGCCTGGGTATTGATTGGGAAGGGAGACTGGGGGTCAGAACCAACTCCCTCAGTAGGCAATGGTGTGGGCCCTAAATTAACTCTGGGCTTGAGTTCCTTCCACTGTAAATTGAGGATAATAATAGGTACTTTCCAAGAATTAAATGATAATGTATGTGTAAACACTGTAAGTGGAAAACCTTGCCACAATTGTTCCATAAATCTTACCTATAAAGTTCAAGCATGGGTCACCTGAGATCCAGGGAACACCCACTTCTAAATTCTCTAGCCTATCCACAGGGGACCTTGTGTTGATCTGATGAATCATCTTATGATTATATACTTTAGGTTTTATCCTTTTACATTTTTGTAGTTTAATTTTTTTAAACTCCAGGTTGGTTCCTCAATTATTTATCAAACTAAACTTTATTAACTACTTTCACATGGCAGGCCCCGATCAGGCCTCAAGAAGAAAAAAAAAATAAGTGACCTCATAGAACTCATGGTCCATTGGAGAATTTATTTATAATTTGTTTCCCCCACTGGAATGACAGGGGTCTTTTTTTTGTTAGTTGCAGCTCTATTTACAGCACTTAGTGTATTGCCTAAGCCAAAATACATTGTTGCTAAATAAATATATGTTGAATAAACAAAAGAATGTGTATGAAGGGCAGGCAAATCAAGGGTGGTGCCCCCAGGACAAATTTGAGCCAGTTTTTTGTTGTTTGGTTTTGGTTTTTGCAAATTAGGAGTCCACCAAGTGGCCCTGGGAGGTAGGTGGGGGAGGGGAGGCACATTTAGGGAAAGGATACAGAATGCAATCAAAGAAACAGCATCTTCTGTTCTTAGTCTCTGTCCATAAACTTCTTAGAATTGTTCCTGTCTCTGTGTATATTTTCTTGTTAGGGTGAGAAGGAGTATCCCATATTCTCAAGGAGTCAGGGCCCCAATTGTTAAGAAGACCCTTCCTAGCTCCCATAGTTCATGGATTCTTGCCCCATTTCTCACTCCAATGCTCCCTCACATCTTGAAGGTCCCTGAGTTTGCTCCTGATCAATGCTGTTCAATGTGCTTCTGGAGCCTTCACTTCCATCCTTGGACTCCTGATTTCCCAGTGTTGGAATGTTTCCCAGCTTGCTGACTGTGACCTTAGGCAAATTGCTTGCCATTTCTAAGCCTCAATTCCCTAATCTGCACAACAGGAAGAGTAATTCCCACCTCCTAAAATTGTGAGGATTAACTAGAACACCTCTGCAAAACACTAACCACAATTCGTGGCCTACAGTAAAAGTTCAGTAGGTGATGGTTATTTCAACTTGTCAGTGCCTGTTGCCCATCCTCCTCTGGTGCTGGGAGCAAAGGTCTCTCTGAGCAGAGAATCAGGTGTGCAGGATTCAGGAAGAGGATTAGTTTTTGGTGTCACTTAATCCTTGTGGCTCTTCCGCAATTGGAGCTCACATAGGGGCAGAAGAGGTATAAAACCTGCTTAAGTAGCCCCAGCTCACAAAGGCTGCAGGATGGAGCTCAGCTTTGGAGCTAAACTGCTGCTGCTGTGGGTGACATGCTGTGGACATGCCCTAGCAGATGATTCCAGTGGCCACAATAAAGTCATCGAGGTGACCAACGGGGGCCCCTGGGGTGACTGGGCCTGGCCAGAGATGTGTCCTGATGGATTCTTCACCAGCGGGTTCTCAGTCAAGGTGAGTGCCCAGACTTAGGTCTAAAGGGGACAGAGAAGTGCTAGACCCCAGAAAAGAGAATGGTAGTCGTCTTCTTTTTTTCATTGTTTAAAGGAATTATTTAATATTTTAAATGTGTTCATTAAAAGTATACAGTTCCATATCCTAGAGGCTTTAACCTCCCAATTTTATTTTTAAACAACTAATTCCAGTAATAATAAAGAAAAAAAAAAACTAAAATAGAGAATGGTAGTCTTCTGACTCGTCTTTACCCGTCTTCTCGCCGCCCAGGTGGAGCCCCCTCAAGGTATTCCTGGAGATGACACAGCAATGAACGGGATTCGGCTGCACTGCTCCCGTGGGAAAGTGGAGCGCGACTCTCACGTAGTGGAGTCCCAATCTGGAAGGTGAGGGGCAGGGGCTAATAATCCTCTAGAGCGGGGGTATGCCCCTGTCCTATTACAAATACCCCCTCCCAGCTGGCAGTTTCCTCCAGAGCTGTGGGGCACTTTAGACCTGGAGGTGGTAGACCTCCCCTCCACACCTCAGAGGATGTCGGATCCAGCACACCAGGTCACATGTAACACCTGGCTGGGAAGTCCCAAGGGCTAGGTTGGATTGGAGGTAGGTGGGGGATGTCTGCAGAGTCAATGAGTCTCCCCTTCCCTCGTAGGTGGGGCTCGTGGAGCGAGCCGCTGTGGTGTCCCCATGGCAGCTTCCTCATGGCTTTCTCACTTCGCGTGGAGGCACCCAATACCCTTGGGGACAACACGGCTGCGAACAACGTGCGCTTCCGCTGCTCTGACGGCACGGAGCTGGAGGGACCTGGCCTGAGCTGGGGAGACTTTGGAAACTGGAGTAAACCATGTCTTAAAGGCATATGCGGCTTGCAGATCAAGATCGAGTCGCCTAGAGGCCTCCGCGATGACACCGCGGTTAACGACGTGCGTTTTTACTGCTGCAGCAGTTAACATCTTTGCCTCCCTCTCCCTGGCCCCACCTCCAGCTTGGCCCACCTCCCGCTATTAAAGTTTCCCCATCTTGGCTTTGGTCTCACTAGTTTTAGGAATAGGAAACTGCGTCTCCTTGTCTTCTTCCTAACCCAGCAATGGGCCAGGCTGAAATTCAGGTTTGGTCTCGGGAGTCCGTGGCTGGCTACTGAAGGTTATGGACCGCAGAAAAACGCACTTAAACACAATTGTGCGTACAAGTTAAGGATGTCCCTGACTTTCTGCAGATAAAACATGCCCATTAAAAGCTCAGGTTGTGCCCTGGCCAGTTTGGCTCAGCGGTTAGAGCGTCGACCTGCGGTCCGGAGAGACCTGGGTTCGGTTCCCGCTAAGGGCACGTACTTCGGTTGCAGTTTGTCCCCGGCCCTGGTTGGTCGTGCGGGTGGTCCCCGGCCCTGGTTGGTCGTGCGGGTGGCAGCCACTCGATGTGTCCCTTCACGTCGATGTTTCTCACTCTCTCTCCCTCCCATTCTATCTGTACAAAAAATGGAAAAATATCCTCGGGTGAGGATAAAAAAAAAAAAAAAAAAAGCTCAGGTTGTTTCTTTTCCGAAATACCAGTGGCCTCAGATTAAGAAGTTTCTACCAAATTGGGAGGTAACATGTTACAACACTTTCAGGCTTCATTTTCTAGAGTTTAATTGGTTAATGTATTTTCCATAGTTGCCCCCCCCCTACAAAACTCAAACAGTGGCTTTTCTATCTTTCCTTTTTTAAAAAAAAAATATAATATATATATATTTTTTTGTCCAGAGAGAGGAAGGGATAGAAACATCGATGTAAGAGAGACACATCCTTCAGCTGCCTCCTGCACGCCCCCTACTGGGGATGAAGCCCGCAACTCGGGCTTTTGCCCTGACTGACCGGAATCCAACTGAGGTTTCTCAGGTCAAGGGAGGACTCTCTATCCACTGAGCCCCTCCTGCGGGGCAAACAGTGGCTTTTCTATATACTAATTCCTGTTTAGGATCTTTGTCCTTACTATCCTCTCAGCTTGGAGTGCCCCAGCTATCCAGATGGTTGTCCATCACCAGATTTCAGCTCCAATTTCACTTCCTCGGCTTTTATTTTAAAAAGACCTTCTATCAGTCAATATCTAACCCATTATCAACGTGTTTTTTTTTTTTTTTTTAATCCTCATCTAAGGATATGTTTTACTGATTTTATTTGTTTTTGTTTTTTAAATCCTCACCCGAGGACATTTTTCCATTTTTTGCACAGAGAGAGTGGGAGGGAGAGAGAGGAAGAGAGAGAGAGAGGGAAACATCGATGTGAAAGGGACACATCGAGTGGCTGCCACCCGCACGACCAACCAGGGCCGGGGACAAACTGAAACCGAGGTACATGCCCTTAGCGGGAACCGAACCGAGGTCTCTCCGGACGCAGGCGGATGCTCTAACCACTGAGCAAAACCGGCCAGGGCTGTTTTTCTGATTGTAGAGTGCAGGTGGGGGAGACAGAGAGATTGGTTGGTTGCCTGCCTCCCTCCTGCTTGCGCAGGGGGGATCAAACCTGCCACCTAGGTGTGTGTTCTGACCAGAAATCCAGCGGAGAACCCTCCAACTAACTGAGCCACACGAGCCAGGGCTCAGTGTGTTTTTTAGAAGTGCGGATCGCCCTGGCCTGTTTGGCTCAGCGGTTAGAGCGCTGGCCGGCAGACCGAAGAGTCCGGGGTTGGGTCCCTGCTAAGGGCACCTACCTCGGTTTGGGGTTTCTCCAAACCGGCCCAGGTTCGGGTCGTGTGGGTGGCAACCAGTCGATGTGTCTCTCTTGCATCAACGTTTCTCTCTTTCTCCCTCCCGCCCTTTCTGAAGATAAATACAAAAATGTCCTTGGGTGAGGATTAAAAAAAAAAGTGCTTATCACTGCCGGGCAGGTGTGGTTCAGTGGCTGAGGGTGGACCCATGCACCAAGAGGTTACCCGTTCCATTCCTGGTCAGGGCACATGCCCAGGTGGGGGCCAGATCCCCAGTGAGGGGCATGGAGGAGGCGGGGCAGGCAGGAGGCGGCCAATGGACGTTTCTATCTCCCTGTCCTTTCTCTAAAAAATCAATAAAGAAAATAAATTTTTTTAATTGATTAAAAAATAAATAAAAGTGCTTTATCACCAGGTGATCTTTTTCCTCTTTTAAAAACTGCCCATCTTCCACCCTGGAATGTTAAATTATTTGAGAGCACAGAACTTGTCTGTCTTGTTAACTACAGTATCTCCAGCGCACACTAATAGCTCAATAACTATTTGCTGCCCCGGCCGATGTGGCTCAGTTGGAGCGTCCTCCTATACACCAAAAAGTGGCGGCTGGATTCCTGGTTGGGCAGCATACCCAGGTTGTGGATTGACCCCCAGTTAGGGCTCGCGGGAGGGCAAGGGATGTTTCTCATATCAATGCTTTTTTCTTTCTCTCTCCCCCTTCCTTTCTCTAAAATCAATTTTTAAAAGATAAATAAAATTAAACCCATGCTTTAAAAAAATAACCATTTCCCAAGAAAATAAGCCGGGTGCAAGGGCCCCACACAGGAGAGCCCCAAGCCCCTCGTATCGAGTCTTTCGAACACTCCTCGCATACAGAACAATACGAGACACGCAAGAGAGCTCAAAACGGTTTATTCCAGGGCGGGGACGGGTTCCGTGGGCATCCAGCAGCGAGCACAGCGGTCGGTGGAGCCTCATTGAGGAGTGCCCTGAGGAAAAGAGAACGTGAGAACGCAGCTAGGGAGCAAGGATGTTCCCTCTAGCTCCTCCGCCCACCATCTCACCTTCTTCCTGCAGTCGCCACAGAGGACCCCAATGGTTGCGTTCACCAGCTGCACCCCACACAGCAGGAGCTCCAGGCACGAGGCGGCCAGCAGCAGCGAGAAGAGCGTCACATTCCAGCAGACCACATTAGGCGGCTGCTCGCACAAACTCCACTGGGTACGGTTGAGCAAGTAAGAGCCTCTGGGGACCCGACAAGGTCACGTGAGAGACGGAGGTCAGCGCGGAGAGCCACCTCTGGATTCCCTGTCCTGAGCACGTGCCAAGAGGGATTTGCAAAGGGCTCATTTGGCCCACGTGGGGAAGCTCTCTGGAAGGTGAGTCCTGCCCAGGTTTCTGGGTCCACATGGGGAGAGGCACAGAATGGGATGGGGACGGCGCGAAAACAGGCTAAGTCTTACGAAGTGTCTTTGAAGTGGTAGTCCCATGTGCCGTCCTTCAAGCATTTGGGTCCATTTTGGAGCCCGACTCCCGATACTGAGACACAGTAGATAGCACCAAGCATCCCGAAGGCCGAGCAGAAGACTGAGCGCAGCATCTGCACGCGGAGTGGAAGGACAGGTGAGGAGGGCCGCCCTTTCCCATTTCGTGGGCTGGCCGCGCCTAGCTCCTACCCCCTTCCCCTCCATTGCCACGCTCTTCCAGAGTCACGTTAAAAGACTAAACTCCGCTTCTTGGAGTTAAGCTAACCCTAAGAACCAGCGGCTGCGGAGATTCATGGGGGTTGTAGTCCCTTCTGGTCAGGCCGGTTGAGGCCTAAGATTGGCGGAGCAGGGTGGGTAGAGGGGAGAGGTGGAACCGGGACTCTGCAGGGGAGCTAGTGCAGCTGGGAAGAGAGGGCGTGGCTTTAGGTTGGCTCTTCACGGACCTGTTCAAAGATGGGTCCTGAATCCCATCCTAATATGGATCTTACCCTACAGCGGTTTCCACAGCAGCCTGCACCGCAACAGCCTTTGCCCCCTGCCCGAACGGCTGCAATTCCTGGACACAGTACCTATGGAACAAAATTCAATGTGACGTAGAGTCCCTCCAGATCCTCAAGCCCTTACTTGCATCAGTGCTTACCTCCTCCTGGGACCTGCCTGTGATGGCCTTAGCCCTTTGGACTGTAGGAAGACCGTACCCATACTTCTCCTGGAGCATTTTCAGGCTCCATCTTAATTTATCATCATTTATGTGCCTACTTATCTCTGTCCAGATTGTAGCCTCCAGGAGGGTAGGGCCTAATATCATTATGTTCCCAATAAATCTTGGCACATGTTAGGTGCCCAACTGAATGGGAGTCAGGAGGCCTGGGTTTAATGTTAACCCATGTGTATTCCATGAATCGATTCATCTTTCAGGGTCTCTGTTTTGTCCTCTGAAAAATGGGTCTACAAGACCTACCTCACAGGGCTGATCTCATGATTTAATGAAATAACAGGTTGATTTGATGTCAAGACTAGCTCAGAGTAAATGCTCAATAGCTATAAATTCCCTCAACAGCAGGAAGGAATAGTGGTGTTGGAGTGTCTGGGATTATGGTGAAGGTTGGAGGAGAATATTAGTGGAGGCTCTGATGGGAAGTGTAAGAATCCCCAAGATATAGCCCTGGTCCTCTTTATCTTTCTCCCTGTGGCCTTCCTCACAGAACTCATTCCCTCCAGGGCATCAGCTTCTTCCTCTACCACTAGTCACCTCCTAAATCATGCCTCCACATTCTAATCTAACTGCCTGAAGGATATGTTCACTTGAATGTCTTGGTTTTAGCTCAAATTTAGCCAGCCTCATTCTGACCTCACAATTTATTCCCCAAATTCATCTCCTGGAGACTTCCTTGTCTCCATCAGTGGAGATACTCTCTAGGTCACCCAGGCTAGAAAACTTGAATCCTTTACACCCAGCCAGATCTCAAGTCCTCTAGACTTTTCCTTCAACAGCTCTTGAATCTGTCAATTCTTTCTTTTTCTTTGCAGTCAATCCCTAATCACCTCCCTCAAGGATGATGTTTCCAGCCTATCTCTTGCCCCAGGCCACCCCACACTCCATCCTAGATTAATCTTAACTTTCACTAGTCTTTTGTATTCTCATATCCTTTAGAGTCTCCTCAAAGAGTAACCCATCAAAATTCAACTCTAGCAAGGCATTGGACGCTCCTCACTTTGGTTACAGTCATGCCAGGTTCTTTGCCTATCTCTCATGTCCAGAACTCCACAGCTGTCTTGATCTTTGCCTTCCTATAAACCTTATCTGGCCCACATTATACAAAGCAGCATTTTGTTCTTCGCTAGGGGAGAGACTGAGAGTTTTAGTCCTGTTATATCCACCACAAAAACCTCACAGAAACACCTGCAAAGTTTAATGGACTTTTCACCAGATACCCCTCTCCCTCCATGTTTCATGGCAGGTCTAGGGCAAGTTTTTTATTTATTTTTATTTTTTATCCTCAGACAGAGCAGGAGGGAGAGAGGAAGGAAGAGAGAGAGAGAGAGAGAGAGAGAGAGAGAGAGAGAGAGAAACATCGATGTGAGAGAGACACATTGACTGGTTGCCACCTACATAACCCAAACAGGGGCCGGGGACCAACTGCAACCGAAGTATGTGCCCTTAGCAGGAACTGAACCCGGACTCTCTAACCACGGAGCAGGCCGACTGAGCAAAACCGGTCAGGGCTTAGGGCCAGTTTTGACCCTCTGACAGCCTCTCTGGTAGGTCACTTACTGGGAAGCTCCTGGATCCAAAGACACCTAGAATTGCCTTTTGGATTTACCAATTTTGAATGACCTATCTATTTCAGATTTTACTTTTTCAGAGTGTTTTTCTTTGTTTTTGTTATCTGAGCTTCTCTGTCTCATTCCCTGTCTACTCATCTTTTTTGTTGTTGTTGTTACTCCTCAACAGAGGATATTTTTTCCATTGATACTTAGAAAGAGTAGATGGGAGGAAGGGAGGGAGGGAGGGAGGGAGAGAAATACTGATGTGAAAGCGACACATTGATTGATTGCCTCCCACACTCACCCTGATGAGGCCCCAGGAATCAAATCTGCAACCCAGGTATGTGCCCTTGACCAGGAATCAAACCTGAGACCCTTAAGTGCATGAGCCGATGCTCTAACCACTGAGCCACATTGGTCAGGGCTCTATCTACTCATCTTAAAGAAAAGAGACCGGTTATTGTAAATGCAGGAGAAAACACTGAGTTTATAGCTCAAATCTGCTTACTTTTCTTCATCTCCATTGCCACTGGCTTAGTTCAAGCCACTATCATCTCTCCTGAACAACTGTAGTGACCTTCATCTGGTCTTTCTGCATCCACTGTTGACCTCCTACTTCCATTCTCCACATAGCTGCCAGAGGGATCTTAAGTCCTATACGGTATCGAGCAACTAGAACTCTAATACTTTGTAAATGGAAATGGATTTGGTATAAAAGTTTCAGAAAACTCTTTGCTGATATCCAGTAGCACTGAATATTTGCACACCTTAAGAACAAGCAGTTTTACCTCTAGGTATAAATCCAACAGAAATGCAAACATTTATTCATCTAAAGACATTTATAGGTATGTTTACGGCAGCATTATTTGTAATAAACCCAAGTTGGGAATTATCCAAATGTCCATCAACAGTAGAATGTTTAAATCAATTGTGTTATGATTTACACAATGAGATGCATAAGAAATGATAAACTATAAACTACAACTACACATACATAATAATAGGGATGAAACTCACAAACATAATGTTGAACTCAAGAATCCAGATACAAAAGTGTCTGTACTATATTCCATTTATATAAAGTGCCAAACAGGCAAAACTAATCTACAGGGTAGAAGTTAGGATAGTTGGGACTCTTGTCAGTAGCAGGTAGTGCCTGCTGGGAAGCACCCCTGGTATTCTGGTATTCAGAGCTGTGCCCTGGCCAGTGTGGCTGGGTTGGTTGGGCATCGTCCTGTACAATGAAGGGTTGCTGGTTTGATTCCCAGTCAGGGCACCTGCCTGGGTTGCAGGCTTAATTCCCAGTTAGGGGGCATTTGGGAGTCAGTCAATCCATGTTTCTCTCTCACATTGGTGTTTCTCTCTCTCCCTCCCTCTCTCTAAAAATCAATAAAATATTTATTTATTTATTTATTTTTATTTATTTATTTTTATCCTCACCCGAGGACACTTTTCCATATTTTGTTCACATAGAGTGGGAGGAAACATCGACATGAAAGGGACACATCGAGCGGTTGCCACCCGCATGACCCAACCAGGGCCGGGGACAAACTGCAACCGAGGTAGGTGCCCTTAGCGGGAACCGAACCCTGTCTCTCTAGACTGCAGGCCAACGCTCTAACCGCTGAGCCAAACTGGCCAGGGCTAAAAATCAATAAAATGTTTTAAAAAAATAATTCACTGAGCTGTATACTAAGGATCTGGGCACTTGTCTGCATGATTTAAATACAAGTTTAAAAACATGTTTAAAAGGTAATAAAGTAATGAACCCTTCAATAGTTTTCTGTTGTACTTAAAATAAAATTCAGATTTCTCCTGTGGCTTTCAAGAGTTTACATGCTCTGGCCTCTGCCTACCCAAGATCTCATCTTATTGAACCTCAGCTGTACTGGCCACCTATCTGGTCTTCAGATATGTGAGCTTGTTCCTACCTCAGGCTTTATAATAGTCAGTCACTCTTTCTGCAATGATAATTCTTTTTTCTTTTTTTGCAGGGGTGGGGGTGTCTCAGTTCAGACATCACCTCATTGAGACCTTCCTTGAAAACACTATAAGAAGTGGTCCTTGCCCAGCCAGTGTGGCTCAGTGGTTGAGCATTGACCCATGTACCAAGAGGTCACCGGTTCAATTCCCAGTCAGGGCACATGCCAAATCCCCAGTGGGGGGCATGCAGGAGGCGGCCAATCAATGTTCTCTCTCATTGATGTTTTTATCTCTCTCCCTCTTCCTTCTTTTTTCTCTAAACAATAAAGAAAAGGAAAAAAAAAAAAAAAAAGAAGAAGAAGAAATGGCCCCCAATATTGCCCTAGGAGCTCTCTATTGAGAGCACCCCGTTTTGTTTTCTGGATGATACCTACTCCTATCTGAAATCATCTTGCTCATTTACTTTGTTTGAGTGTCTCTTAAGTGCATGGCACTGGTCTAGGTACCTGGCACACAGCAGCCAGGGTAATATAATGTACCTAATGTAATGAGGCTTATATTTTTGATTCTGTGATTCTCCCCAATGGGAACACCAGCTTCAGGGAGAGCAGGGACTTCACCTGTGTTCTCATGGCATAGCAGAGACTCTGTGACTATATTTGAAAAACTTTCTCAAGAGTGGCTCAGGGCATGGAGGTGGGAAGAAGGCAGCTGGGAATGAACATGCTGAGAGGGCATCCTCAGGGATCTCCCCTGAAGCAGGCTGGTTAGACCGTGGAGAGGGGGGGTGGTTTAAACTGGAGAAGAGCATGCTGTGATGCTGAGAGAGTATGTAGGTCTGGGAGGAGTGTGACATTTCAAGAAAAGTTGAGGCCAGGGGGATGGAGTAGAGCCCAACAGCCATGAATCCATGTGGGTGGGGGAGTAGGGGAAAAGACCCTAGAGGGAAAGAGGAGATTGTTGGATAAAGGAGAAGAGGTGGGATCTATGAAAGAGATGAAGGAGTTACCTCTCCCAGATAATTTTATCAGTCAACTATCTTGAGAAGTATGGAACTATGGTGGGTAGATCTTTTGTCTTCATCCCATGAAGATGTTAAACTAGCTTGACTTTCCAAAAGTTTCTATAAATGGGGAGGGAGTTGGAGGATGGGAGTTAGGAAATCCAGGGAATCTGTGTCTCCCAGTCTCCCACTTTTTTTTTTTATCCTCACCAGAGGACATTTTTCCATTTTTTATTCAGATAGAGTAGGAGGGAGAGAGAGGGAGAGAGAGAGAGAAACATCGACGTGAAAGGGACACATCGAGTGGCTGCCACCCGCACGACCCAGACGGGACCGGGGACAAACTGCAACCGAGGTACATGCCCTTAGCGGGAACCGATGCTCTTATTGCTGAACCAAACTGGCCAAAACCCACTTTTTTTTTTTTAAATCCTCACTTGAGGACAAGTTTGCATTTATCTTCAGATAGAGCAGGAGGGAGAGATGGAGGAAGAGAGAGAGAGAACATCGATGTGAGAGAGACACATCGACTGGTTGCCACCCACATGACCCCAACCAGGGCTGGGGACAAACTGCAACCGAGGTAAGTGCCCTTAGCGGGAACCAAACCCGGGACTCTCTGGTCCCTGGGCTGATGCTCTAAACGCTGAGCCAAACCGGCCAAGGCCCAGTCTCCTACTTTTCTTGACAGATTCTAGTCTCCAGGAAGACATGGAGGCATCTTCTCCATCACCCTGACCTAGGTTTGAGTTTACCCTTAGTTCTGAGCACAGAGGGTCATCTAGAAGTGTGAGCTGAGAGTGAAGAGACATGGAGGCTGGGGACATCAAGCTGAGTCGAATGACTGATCCATGACACTGCTCCCTGGCTCCAGGAATTGTCAAAGCATTCCACCCCCATTCCCGTTATCATCTTGCCCTGATAACCTCCCACACAACCAGCTGTTCCTGCCTCAACCTTTGCAGTGAGGTGTTCCCAGAATCTGCTCACTGATGGGGAGGGGCAGGTAGGACATAATGTCTTCCCAGAATGGAAGCTGCTTAGAGCAGCGAGGCTCCCTTCTTTCTTGTTCCCCTCAGACATTCAGCTCAAGGCTCTGGGCTCCTCCCAGACCTCTACACAGTGCTTAGCATTTGGGAGCAGAGTCAGAGCTCTCCAGGTCTTCACCACACCATTGCCATGCCTTCCCAGGCAGCCGTCCTTGCCCCCTTCTCCCTCTCCCTCCTGTTCAGAAACCCCTAGAGTGACGCCCATCCCCCTGCCCTGTGCTAACTCAATAGCCTTCTCACCATCAGGCCCCCACCGATGAAACCAGCCATGTACCAGACGTGCTTGCTGATTAGGTCCATCTTGGTCCAAGAGGTCTTCCCATTAGGCACCAGCAGGAGGGCATTGGCCACAATGCAGATCAAGGAGAGGGGAATGAGGGAGAGCCCCACAAAGCGGGCACACTTTCCCGTGCACATGATGAGATGGTTGAGAAGGACAGGCAGTGAGTGAAAGTAAGCCTGAGGCTGGTGGAGAGGAAAACAAGCCTGGAGCAAGGAGCAAAGGTCAGGGAAGAGGTGTGGCAGAAACCAGAGAGTCAAGATCAATGATAAGGGAGAGAAGCAGGAGACACAGGCAAAGAGCAGGTGGAGGTGGAGGGGCTGCTGTTCGTGAGGGGAAGGGAAGGATGTGGTGGAGAAGGTGCGGGGAGACTGACACAGAGGAAGTTGCCTGGGGTCAGTATGTTCTTCCTCTTTTTTTTCTTCAGGCACCTCTCCTCAGGCCCTCTGTTGGCTGCTTAACCTGTTTCGTGATTTGGTCAAGCCCCTTAATTTCTCTAAGTTTCAGTTGCCTCATCTATATCAAGGGTATAGTTGGGCACTTGGCTCTTGGGCTGGTTGTGAAGATTAAATGAGACAATGTGAGAAGCACTTTGTAAACTAGGATGTACTAAGCAGATGTATGGTGGCCTTATCATTCCTATTAGTTCCACAGGGAGGTTTCCTTCTGGAAACAAATTTCTTCCTCATATTTGTTTATTAAACCCTCCTCCTGTTGAAGCCACCACCTGTCAGGCTGGGCTCTCTATTAAAGCCTGAGTCATGAGAACATTCCATCCCCCGCCTCAGTGTTTGACTCAGCCATGGCCACATGGTCCACACCAGTCCCCTGGAGTTACTTTCTGGCTTTTGTTGTTGGAAATCTGAGGTCAAATAAGTTCTGTTTTTTTTTTTTTTTATCCTCACCCGAGAGCATTTTTTCCATTTTTTGTTCAGATAGAGTGGGAGGGAGAGAGAGGAAGAGAGAGAGAGAGAGAGAGAGAGAGAGAGAGAGAGAGAGAGAGAGAGAGAGAGAGAAAGAAAGAGAAAGAGAAACATCGATGTGAAAGGGACACATCGAGTGGCTGCCTCCTACGTGACCCAACCAGGGCTGGGACAAACTGCAACTGAGGTACGTGCCCTTAGCGGGAACCGAACCCGTGTCTCTCTGGACCGCAGGCCAACACTCTAACCACTGAGCCAAACCAGCCAGGGCAAGAAGGTCTGTTTTTGTTGGTATGCTGAAGTTGTTGGTGGCATATTGCCTGTTGGAAAGTGAAGTCAAGCCAGAGGAAAGAATTCAAAGGATGGAAAGACACTGTCTTTTTTTTCTTTTATTAAAATTTTCTTTATCAATTTTAGAGAAAGAGGAAGGAAGAGGAAGAGAGAGATAGAAACATCGATGAGAGAGAACATCGATTGGCTGCCTCCTGCATGCCCCCTACTGGGAATTTGGCCCACAACCTGGGCATGCGACCTGACTGGGAATTGAACTGGCGACCTCTTGGTGCATGGGTTGAAGTTCAATCAATGGAGCCACACCAGCTAGACAACACTAAGTCTTGATGACATCATTTGAACATACTGATTAAGCTATGCCTGGAGCCTGATCATTCCTTAGGAAGTTTTGAATATGTGCTCCAGTTTGAGTTGTTTCTGTCAGCTACTACCTAGAGTCTTTTTTGATACAGAGATTAATTCATTAAGCCCTTGCTGTGGACAGGGCTTTGCTCTGGAGACTGTGGGGATTCAAAGTTATATGTATGAGACCCACATATGGGCCTTGGGAGCAAAAAGGAGAGTGAAGGCCAAATATGATGTGGTAGTGCCGTGGAAGAGACGAGGGCGGCAGGAAGTGCTGAGGGACTTCAGAAAGCATGCGATGAGAATGTCCCACAGGAAATGGTGTCCATCCAGCGGTCTCTGCTGTAGCTTGTCCCAGCCACCCACTCAAACCACTACAGATATGAAAAATGGGAAAAACTTACCCCTCAAAATGAATGCCAGGATCTGAGGAGCTACTATTTATGAATCAGAGGATACCTGATTAAAATACTTTCTTGTGTGTGTGTGTCTTTTTGAGAGTATGCACCCTTAGTGGGAACTGAACCCCGGTCTCTCTGGTTCATGGACCAATGCTCTAACCACTTAGCAAACCGGCCTGGGCTGATTAAAATACTTTGAACCTTTCCCAACTGTCTGCCTCTGATTCATAGGCAGTTATTTTTTTAAAATATGTTTTTAGCCCTGGCCAGTTTTCTCAGTGGTTAGAGTGTTGGCCTGAGGAATAGAGAGTCTTGGGTTCGGTTCCCGCTAAGGGCAGTACCTCGGTTGCAGTTTGTCTCCACCCCAGTTGGGATTGGGTGGGTGGCACCAGTCGATGTGTCTTTCTCACATCATGTCTGTCTGTGTCTCTTCCTCCCTCTCTGCCTCCCGCTCTATCTGAAGATAAATGCAAAAATGTCCTTGGGTGAGGATTTATAAGAAAATTTTTTATTGATATTTTAGAGAGCAAAGAAGGAAGAGAGAGAGACAGAAACATCAATGTGAGAGAGAAACATTAATTGGCTGCCTCTTGCACACCTCCTACTGGGGATCAAGTCTGCAACTGGGCATGTGGGCTGACCAGAACCGGGACCTCTCAGTCCATGGGATGACAATTCACTGAGCTACACTGGCTGGGCCATAGACAGTTATTGTCCCCTGGCTGATTTGGCTCAGTGGTGAGAGCATTGGCCTGTGGTCTGGAGAGACCCAGGTTCGGTTCCCACTAAGGGCACGTGCCTCGGTTGCAGTTTGTCCCCGGCCCTGATTGGGTCGTGTGGGTGGCAGCCACTCGATGTGTCCCTTTTGCGTCGATATTTCTTTTTCTCTCTCTCCCTCTCACTCTATCTGAACAAAATATCCAAAAAAAAAAAATGTACTCAGGTGAGGATAAAACAAAACAAAGCAAAAAAAATGTTATTGTAATAACTGATATTTTGCTTTGCTTTTCTTGTATTGTGTAATGCTTTTTAAAAATAATTCCATGTTATTTTTGATGTCTCTTTTCATTAAATCTTCCGTCTCTTATCATGAGTTGTTTGTTTGTTTGTTTATTTATTTATTACATTATCTCGTGTTTTAGAGGCGTCTTTTAAATCCTGGTAGTGGTTACCTATGAATGTTAAAAATGCATCCTTTAACTTATTACCCTGCCTTTCACCGAGAAGACTCAGACTGTCATTATCCCTGCAACCTCCTTTGAGGGGCTCTGTACAGATGGTTTACCGTGCTTATTAGCTTTATAGCTTATGACTATAACCATGTGATCCTGTGGTAAAAATTGAACTAATTGCTTCAGTTCTTCAATCCTCTATGCTCTTTGCTTTGACATTTTGTTGTTCCTCCCAGAAAAGATAGACTGTACCTCCTAACATATGGACACAATGGAATGCGGGCAGAAGCGACAATATCCCAGTTCTGAGCTTAGGCCTTAGGAGGCATTGTATGTTGCTACTTGACCTCTTTTTTTTTTATCCTCACCCGAGGACATTTTTCCATTTTTTGTTCTGATAGAGCAGGAGGGAGAGAGAGGAAGATAGAGAGAGAGAAACATCGACGTGAAGGGACACATCGAGTGGCTGCCACTCGCACGACCAACCAGGGCCGGGGACAAACTGCAACCGAGGTATGTGCCCTTAGCGGGAACCGAACCTGGGTCTCTCTGTACCGCAGGCCGACGCTCCAACCGCTGAGACAAACCGGCCAGGGTGCTACTTGACCTCTTGTGACTCATCACTGCCATGGGAAGAACGTGCCCAAGTGAACCCACTGGCGAAAGGAAGGTGTAAGATAGAAGGAAAAGGCCGGAATCAGATCCCTGCCTATATCAGCTGACCTCCAACCAACCTGTACATGTATGAGTGAAATAAATGCTCATATTTGTATGTCACTAAGACTTTGTGGAGCTTTTTGTTCCACAGCAATAGCTGACTGACACAAACCCCATTGTCTAGGCCATAGCTCATTGATCCAGGAACGAGTAACTGACCCATAGCTAGAGACCGAGGAGGTAGCTTGAGGCAAGAGCTCTGCCCAGCAGAAGTACCTCACCTAATGATGACTGATCAATGAACTGGACCTTTATTCTTGGGAAACTTGACAGTGAGACAACCTGATAGAATCATCAGAGGGACAGGTGGCCCCACACAGAGAAATATGAAGGCAGGGAGTGAGCAAAAGCCACAGGCAATTAAAACCACAAATAAACAGAAGCCATAGAGGAGAGAAGTGTGTAGAGAGCAGTGAAACTGTGCAGGAGAAAGACGTACAAGGACTGAGGAGTACAAGTGGAGAATCTGGATGCTGGGTGAAGCAGATGATGAGGTGCTGATTTAGCACAAGTAATGTTGAACGTGGAGAAGGGTTTCAGCTATTGTCCCAAGTGGGGCCAAAACAAACCACATATTTGTCTACAAGTTTATCAATACTGAGTCTGAGGAATGGTACTGATTTTCAGAATAAGTAAAGAGAAAAAAAAATGTTGTATGTGTGGAGTGGTCCACAGGTATTCGTGATATTACATTTTATACAGTTCTGCATGCATGAAATAATGTTAATAATGTTAAAAACATTTTCTTCAAAACAAGGGAAGGGATACATCATCCTGAAGATGGAAAGAAAGAAACAGAACTCTTGAGAAATATTTACTGTAGGATTTAAAGGAAATTTTCAGGAAGGTTTTCACTAGAATTCTCTTGGAAGTAGGAGCAGAGTACTTTTAAGAAAGAAAAGGCTGGCCCTGGTCGATTTGGCTCAGCAGTTAGAGCGTCGGCCTGCAGTCCAGAGAGACCTGGGTTCGGTTCCCCCTAAGGGCGCGTACCTTGGTTGCAGTTTGTCCCCGGCCCTGGTTGGGTCGTGTGGGTGGCGACCATTTAATGTGTCCCTTTCGCGTGGATGTTTCTCTCTCTCTCTCTTCCACTCTATCTGAACAAAATATCGAAAAATGTCCTCGGGTGAGGATAAAAAAATGAAAGAAAGAAAGAAAGAAAGAAAGAAAGAAAGAAAGAAAGAAAAGGCTGGATTTTCGTCTTTTAAGATGAAAAGGAGCCAGCATGTATTTGGGGAGGAAAAAGAGAATTACACGGAAATTTAAAATACACAAAGGGTATTAAAGTCTATATTAGAAGCACTAAAGAAGAGAACAGAAGGTGGGACAAAGTGAATGAAGGATACAAAGGACAAACTTGGGAAAACTTGCATTCACAGGAAAAGGACCAAAAGATTAGGAAAGAAAAGACCAGCAATTAAAACAGTGGAA